GGGGGGAGGGAGGGGAGGGGTGAGCGAGCAGTTGCCTAGTGCTTAGTTGCCAGCTGCTGGGTTAAATCATAACAGTGACCGTCACGGCAGCACCAAGTCAGAATAAACTCAGATACAGAAACAGCATCTGACATCTGATAAAAGCTGCTACATTAATCAAAGGCAATACTGAACCTCTATTTTCTTTCGGGTTGGGAGCCTCTCAGGCTGTGTGGCATTCAAGCCACTCTTGCCACCAAGAAGATGTATTAAGAGATACCACCTTCTGCTTCTTGTACAGGGAAATCTTTTGGGTAGCATCTCAGTATTACTGTGGATTTGTTGCTCACACCTTGCCAATACCTCCCACAGATCCACACCTCCTCTCCACAGTGCCTCTGTGAGACTTAAATTTTGTCAACAGTTGCTGCTGACAGTCCCACTGAAGCAGTATGGTCAGCTGTAGATGCCAGAGTTAGGTTTATGGAAGGCTGTTTTTTTAAATATCACTGAATTGTCTGTTTCTCTCTTTTGATGAGGATACCATGGGCATATCTGCTCTGGCTCCTTGCAGACACTGAGGAGCTATGAATACAAATGCTAGATGTGAAGCACTGTCTTATGACAGAAGCTATTTACCATAGCAAGGAGCGTAACAGTTCTTGCCTGAAGCAAGGTGCAAGTCTACAAAGTTGCAAATCCGAGTAACCTGAGCAGTAGTACTCTTTGGTAAAACAGTTGCATTGCTGTCCAGCTATCTCAAGTACTTTTATCGGGGACTGCATGTAGCCATGTGGTTATTTGCTATTATGCACCCAACAAAATGTTTACGCTGCTTACCCTGACCAGGGAGATGTTCAGATTCACAGACCTGACTGACAATACTCCTCTCAATGGTTTTCAGTGCATCAAGGTTTTCCACTGTGAACACTCTCCTTGCATCACCAGATATCAAAAACAGCTCAAAGGAATTTATAATCTCTATGCCAACTGCAAAGACATGGATCCCATTGCTTCTCAAAGCCATTGTTGCATCCTCCATTCTGTTCTGTGATACTCTTTGGCTCTTGCAGCCTCCGCTGGCAGGCTGAAAAAAGCTCTGAAGAAGCCTCAGCCCTTTGCCAGTGAATGTAGAGGACTGCAATTGCTTGATTCTGTTGATCTGTTCCTTTATCATGGTGTGAGCATAGAACTCATTAAAAGAAAACTCTTTCTGGGGCTCTTGGTTGTACTGGATTACTCCAGCATGTACTTTCTACCTAGAAATAATAAAGCTGTCCACAACTTCCTTCATGAAGGTCTTCATGACAGAAGAGTTACTTTTTGATATGCTTTCTGATCTGTCCATCAGGTATACCAGATCTGCCACTTGACTGCTGCAAACTTAGGGAAAAAGCAGAGGGGAAAACAAATAAACTGGAAGAAACAACCTCACCTAGTGAGAACATAACCTTGGCAGTGTTTAATCTTTTCCTTGTTCTCTGCAGTGTAAACCTTTAGTCACAGAAACTGTTCACAGCAGGCCATGCAAGGCCAACCCATCATCTACCCTACTTCAACCCAGAGACCTTCCATGGATAGATGAAATCCATCCTTTTCCACTATTAACTTGCAGAAGAAATCACAGATCTTTACACCTAAAAGACCAGCTGGGAGAGTCATAACAAGACAGAGCTTGCAACCACAGACAAACCCTCAGCTGAGGAAGGTCAGACGTTAGCTACCAGTAAATCAGATTAACTACCCCACTCACCACTCTCATACTCTTGCTACCTGAGGGGCTACTGTGAGGAAAAAACCACTTGAACTGCATGACTGCTGTGGAGAAAGGCAGCATGCTGGTATCCCTGGAGAGAACTCTTGCCTGTCATTTTCACTGCAGAAGCAGAGTTCCCTAACATTCTTATTGGCAGCACATCATAGCTCTGTGCAAAGGGTAATCTTTCCTGACCTACAGAGTAATCTCTTCAAGTTCTTTTCTGCTTGCTTTGTTTACTCCAACAGCAGTCAAGTTGACTCCACCTCCCTTCAAAGCTTTTACGACCATGGGAAGGCTGGCTCTATCCAGTGGTACAGCTGGTTCACCAGTACAAAGAAGGATCCTGGTGACAGCAAGGAAAGATGCACGCCCATCCTAGTTCACACCAGATCTCTGCCTGGCAAAGCTCAAAGCTCTTGCTGCAAAGGGCTGGCCTGGCAGAGGCTTCAAGCTGAATACTGCTTCTCGACTCTGAGGCTCAGAGGAGTTAGGATTCAGAGAGAAATGCATCGCCCACTTGGAGCTACAGACCAAAACACCAAACTGAACTTTATCCACCTCAGCCATTAAGTCACTAGCTACCATTAGCTGCTGCTGCACATTTTTGAACTGCAGGTCTGTAACACCATGCACTACAAAGGGGGCTATTGGACCCCTAACCCTGGCCTCTGCCTCTGACCCTCGACACCTGACCATGACCTCCAATGCCTGAGCCTGACCCCCAAGCCTGGTTCTAAGCAGGGAAGCTTGATAATACTTGGGTCATTCACCACCAGAACTTTATAAACCTCACTAAAACCTTTCTGAATGTTAATATCCTTTTGCATCGATTTGCTCTGGCAGATGGTGCACACACCAACAGCAAGCCTGACAGCACTGAAATGACAATTATCTATGTACGTCTTACCTTTTTTCAAACGTCACAACTGTAATGAGACTACAAACATTTTTCTCACAATCTCATTACAAAGCTGTTTCTTTATTTCCATCCAATATTTGACACCTGCAGAAAAAGGTTAAGGGTGGTGACATGTTTCCTTGGGGAATAAATTGCAATTTTATCAAGGTAGCTACTCTGTAATATTCTGGATGCCCATGGCATAGACAGTAACACTTTGTGTCTTAGTTTAGATGTCGGTTCACTGTAATCATCCAAGGACTTGCCAGTGATGACCACAGCAATTTGCTGCACTCTTTGTTTTTTCCTGCTGCCTGCTTCTTGAGTAAAAACTTTGTTCCTCAGGAACTCAATGGCTGCTCCAGTGTACGTTTGCCCCCCTTGATATGGTAAGTTCTTCAAGTAATTCAGGATTTCTGATATATCCTTGAATGTGTCCAGGGTGAACTCTAGCCTTGGCTTATTACTGTACAACACTAGCCCAACTCTTACATTACTTGTACCAATAACCAGTGCATTAAAAATTTTTAACAGAAAGGCCCTTATCAGCTAGAAGTTTTTTGACGCAGTTTTGCTGGATTCATCCACATGAAACAATATCTGCAAGAGTCGCACTGGAACACACTAAAAGTAAAGTAAATATAAGGAAGATAAGATTAATGTAGGTCACACCATGGGATAATTGGTGGGACAATCAGAACTAGGATCATCTCAAGGTAATATGCAAGATGCTGCTACAAGAAAACGTGAAATCTAAATCCCTATTAGTGCTGAATAGCATAGACTTATATATTGATATTCACAGTAAAAGAAATCCCTGAAATAAACACCATACTTCAACTGGCCCCTTGCCCACACTACAGGAAAGTCTGCAAGAAAATGCTTTTCTCACTCTCCTGCAGAGAGTACTCCTGTACTTGCTACGAAGTGATTCTCTAACACAAACTGGAGGCTCTGCCCAGTTTTGGTGCCTCCTCCTTTGTAATGTAATTTCTGTACCTTCTGTGAGGTATCATTCTTGCTAGACTAAGGGTTCCAACAAGAATCCAGTCTATGGCACACCACTGTACTGAATCATACCAACATGGAGTTTGTCTTGCCCAATATCAAAGCCATTGACCACTGTGTACAAGAAGTCTTGCATGATCTTGAAGTTCTTTATCCCTACACTCCATGATCCATCTACCAGGAAGATGATGTCTGCCATAGCAGCTCTCCTACAGACTGAAGAAATATTTTGTAACTTTCTTGTTTTCCTATAGGATGTGTAACCTAATAGAAGAGTAATTTCCCATCCTGATTGCTTTTCAGAATCTAAGACCCACTGGCCTTTTGCACAAAAATCCTTCCATCTATCCTGGTAAATTCTCAGCATCCACTAGTTTCTTTGTTTCCCCTGTTCCTCATACAAAGGGTCAGAGGCTACATCCTTCTGCAACACCATTCTTAGGCAAAGGAGAGATGCTGAAATTCACACCACACAACTTCCATACACAGCCTGCTCAGAACTCACATGTAGTAAATGCATATGTTAATTGCTGTACACACTTCTGTATGCAAACCACAATCACAAGGATGCATTGACCTGCTGTCAAGTGAGCCCAAAGGAAAAGTTACTCATGCACTTTGAGCTCCATTCTGCAAGCATACATTACTAATAAATATTAATCATCTGAGGAGAAAAAAATAAATTCACATCAACTTAAACATGATTAACCACATTTACTTGTAGTAAATACTAAACCAATGTATTTCCACACCTTTCAGGAGCATATGAGACTAGTAGGGATGGATGAAACAGTTATTATTTCCTCAAACGGTCATGCAGAAAACGTTCTGCAACTGGACAGAACACTTTTTCAAGCAGATCTCCCAGAAGACCTGACTACTTCTGGTAGTGAAAATGCTAAATCCTGTGACTTCTCTTGCTTTTGGCCGTCTTACAATTCTAAGAGTTTTTCATTGCTTTTGAAAATATGGAACCTCAGCATGCATGAACAAAAACAAATTTTAATGGGCTAATGCATTTAATTTTGCATTTTTTTAGGACAACTCTCCTATCCTAGTTTAAATATATGTTCCATAAAGATATACCATGTTATACCTAGTTATACAAAGAATAAATTGTCATTGATTCTTCATCTCTCTCTGGCATTGAGTATAAATGGAAAAAATTAATTTTGCTATCAACCTGAATAAGAGTAATTTCTTTAGTGTATTACCAGTCTGCTGTGCATCTGTAAAGTAGAAGGTGGAAACAAAAAGTAGAACAAGAAGTGGTTTCCAGTCATCCATTTTGAAAACCTCCCTAGAAAAAAAAAAGACAGACGGTAAGAAATACAGAACATAATTTCCTCAGAAAGAGATTTTTAATTGTGGAGAAAATCAGTAAATATATTTATTAACAACATGGAGGGTTTCTAGTTGTATGCAGTTTAAAGTAGGACTTCAAATTCATATATTCTTCCCTCCACTTTTAACATACAGGCCTTAAACACAGAGCTGGTAGACTTTGACAATGAATTTCAGCACATAACCAAAATGAACTGTTCACTGCTCTGCTCTCACGTAATCATGCTTTGTTCTGATTCACACAGCTATATTTACCAAGATCCAAAATCCAACTACAAGCAATCTATTCACAATGTAAGATTAATGGGAGTATTGCCTCTAAGATTTCCTTCTAGCCTTGAAATTCCCCACCCGCGCATCTATTTAAAAGTAAAATTTGGTAGTGCTATCTATATACGATAGGCATAGATAAGAACAAGCATTCATTTACAAATGAAACACGCCAGCTGGCCAGTAATGAAGACACTTGCTGTATAAAAGTACCACAACCCAATGCTATGGGAAACAGTAATGAAAATCTTTCAGCAAGAAAGTACAAAATTAAGTCACGCTGAGCTTAAGCACACAAAACAAGTGAGAACAAAACAGTTTAGAAAAACTTTCAATTCTTAAACACATGTACACTAAATAGCTTAAAGAATAAAAAGAAATAACAAACCAGACCCCAGAGGCCAAGTATGCAAATGAATATGAAAACATTTCATACGTTGTTTTTCTTCGGAGCTGCTGAAGTTCTCTTTCTTTTCTGACTAGTTCCAGCTGCTTTCCTCCTAGTTCCACCCTCACATTCTGTCCTAGGTCAAAACAGAGCTGTACAGCACAAAACTGATGTCAGCAGGTGGAAGAAAATATTTTTGGTAAAACGTATAAACATAAAGGTCAAATGCTTCTGCATGGTGACATGAGTAGCAGAGAACATTTGGTTGGCTAGGTATGTCCATCAGGGAGGATGAGAAAACCAGGTATAGCACTCATTTACTCTATGACCTTCGGTTATTCAAATATTTAAAACAGACGAGTAAAAGATGCCACTGCTACATTTCAGCCAGCCAAAGCCACTCCTCTCACCAGCCCTTTGTCAACTGAGAGTATATCTCTTCCTACTCTAGGGGAAAGAATAACTTGACAGAGATGCTGTGCATGTTGTACTTCTTTCCCATGGATGTGCACGTCAGAGGTAAAGCTGTTCAACACTGTATGTAGTCTCTTCCTCAGGCCTCCAAAACACACCTGCTGGCAGCAAGGATTTTGTGGAAATTAGACGGAGGAGGACGACTGAGGAATGAGTCACTGAGGAGGGTGAGGTAAAATTCAGTACCCTGACTTGACTCAGGTACTATGCTCAAATGCTCAGTGGCTGAAAGACAAACTACTGGGGCTACCCTAAGAATCTCATACTTCATACACAACCTATGTTAGAGGTGTTTTGGCCTGGAAGATGCACGGCTACTGACTTTTATGTGCTACCATCTGTTTATTACCAAAATTATATACAAAGCACTGCTGAGCTACCAGTAACACAGAATAAGCCAAATACTGCTCTGTCTCTATCTTTTGAACCTGATGGTTGATCTTGGCAGATGCTCAGATCAGAAAAAAGAGATAGCTTGAGCCACCTATACTCCAGGCTTGGGTTTGACACAGAATGCAACCTCAGCACATCCAGGATCCTGACTTGGCTTACCCCCACTCTTGTTGTTCCTCCATCAAAGGTTTCAGGGCTTCTGGAACTTTGATGTGAACAATGAACCTAGAATTTCATTTTGGAGCTGATTTGCACACAAATTTCCCCAGCATCTATGTCTCTGCCATTGCTAAACATCTAATAATTATGTTGGCAGGAATACTGCCTAAACTTCTAAGTAACAGAGAAGGAAATGTACGCGAAGACACACAGAAGCAATCAAACAGCAGGCAAAAAAACAGCCCAGTTCATCCTTCAACAACCAGAGGGCTTCCTACGCGTGCCTCTTGGAATCTAGGAGCATCCTTCTCAGAATCAACCAGTCTCAGACACAGGTAAGTTCTTCTTGTGGAAGGATATGGAACTGAATCCGTATAGAAGGAGAGGATATCCAAGCGATGGCTACTGCATAATAGGTTAATCCACACATTAGTCTTTTCAGTATCTTCGAAGTATGTGTTGGCGGCAGGGTATCTACCTACACATGCAGATTGCTCCTCTTTATTTCTGTCACTTTTGTTTGATAAACCTCCCTTTGTCACGAGTCACCAAAAAAGTCCTAGCGATCAGAATAAAGGTCCATCTTGCCCAGTCCCTTATCTTTGACAATGGCCATTAGCTTAAGGAAAGAACATACAAGGAAATTTTAGGAATGTAGATCTCCCTTCCACACAGACTGGTTTAAAGGTTTCCATGTTGCATTTGGGTGAAGACCATACTTCCATAAATTCTTCCAATCTCTTTCGAAGCCAGTTATATGTTTATACCAAAATCACAAGCCAATTAGATTGTTTATCATATTGTCAACATCATTTATATTCTATTGAAAAAGCAAACCAAGTATCTGTGAAAATACAAATTGATGATCAAATGCTGCTGTTAACAATTCATTACACTGTTTTTTATAAACTATAACTTGGATCTGCAGAGACAATTTAATGGAAAGGCTACAGCTGGTCTAACATCATAGCACAAGGTTCAGTTCCAAGTTCTTAGGGTAACAGTATATACTATTACCCTAGGTCTTGTAAATAACAAAAAGAAATGAATAGAAATCATCTGCTTGAGTCAATTTTCTACCCTCAGGCAATAGTGAAACTTTATTTCCAAGTATCACCACACCAAACCCCATCGTAGCTCTTGAAGGGTTCTTTGGAAACTTCTCCTGTGGGGAGAATAAAAGCCACATTTCCTATATTTCAATACATTTATCAGATATGAGCACATTTTGCTATTATTGGTACCGCAGTAACACAGAGATTCCACATGTAACCGAGGTCCCTACGCAACAAAAAGGGTTCCATGTACTGTGTGGTCCCTAAAAAGAACAGAAGGCAATTCTGGGGTTTGTGCATTGTGGAAACTTTCTTCGTGCCTCTGCACATTGCGATTTTCTTTAATAAGCACTTTAAACACAAGGGAAACTGTGGCATGTCGTATATGAAATCATATCAAATAAAAGTGTTTTGCAATCATCTTATATACTATCCTTACAATAAAATTTTGTCTTGGATTTAATTAATTCTTCTGTATATATTCCTGATCGTTACTGAATCTCTTAAGACTGCTCCTTGATCACTTTGACAGAGATTTGATTACCAGTTATCTATTTTCACTACTACACCTCATGACATCAACCTTTTTTAGACATTAATAAGGAAAAAGCTTATAATTAGAGACAATGAAATATTAAATTAATTCAATGGTATCCAAAATGAAAACAATCATGATCACTAACTTTCATTACTGTATTACGCAGTACCTACTTTGATGGCACAGTTACTGCACCAGAGAAGCAGTAAGCATCTTGAACTATCTGATTTTAATAAATTGCAAACAGATCTATAGAAACAGCTAGAAATGTATATATTCAAAGGCAGGTAAGTAAAATGCTGTCAGTATTTCCAAAGCCTCTAGTTAGTGTTTAGCTCTAAAAATTTCCACCACTATGAGTCTGTGGAAAACTCAAAGGCACCAATATCACCATGCTTCCAGGGTGTATATGACTGTCCACAGTCAGATGAGCAAAATACAGTTGCTGTTTCAGTAAGGGGCTAGACTTTCCCCAGTAACGTAAACATCCAAATTTCATATCAAAAGCTCTTACTGCTACACCATACCCAATAATCAGTGGCTGTTGAGCTATGCAACTACTTCCATACCTCTTAACAGCTGTAGTCTCTGTTTGCCACCTTCAGCTTCTTCCAACATCACGACTTAAGAATGTCCCCTGCTCAGAGGGTCAGACACCCTACACCTGCAAAATCTCTCCCACTCTTCCTAAACACTGAGTGCAGATGGGAACCTATTTCTCACTTGCTCTTTATTTTTCCCTTCAGTAGCCCCTATTGACATCAGTCAGCTTCTTTAAATACACAGGGGCACTGCAATTTAAAAACCTGTGGGGACTGATTTCCCTACTTGCAGCATTTATTTTGCCTTACCTTCACCTAGGAAATTCCAGTCATGCACTACAAGCTGCATAAATAGAGGTACTTTACGCCTTCTACGTGTATTCTTCATTATTTGCTATTGCAAAATGAAAGAAGTAATTGACTGGAAAACTCATGTCATACAGCTCATGGGCACTATGGATCAAAGCCTAAACAACTCACTCAGAAACACGCAGTGTCACAGAGTACTACCAATTCTGCATATTAAACTACCAAATATGTTCATTCCAAAACATATTTGAACATAAAACAGTATATACAAGGTCCTAAGCATAAGCTACTTAAATACACATATCTGTAGTTGTTTATATAAATACGTATAGGCATAATCTACATAAGATGCTAAGACAGCAATTCTCATAAACCTAAGACTTCTTTCCACTTTAATGCTATATTAGGAAACAACAGTATGAAAATTATTAAAAGCCCTTAGAAAACGGTATAAAAGGATACATATTTTAAAGCCTATTTTACCGCAAGCATTTTTCCTTATTTGTTCTCAGAGACCCACCATATGTAAACAAATAAAGCTCAAAGGAAGAAAAAAAAAAATCAACGGTGCTCCTGAATTCTTCAAATGCTTCACAAAGATCGCTTGCAACTGTATTTTGTTTTTTCTTTTTTAATTAACTAACGTCCCAATTTTATCTTCAGTTGCTTCAATGTTTACCCAGGTAAAAGAAAGTCATTCTGTAGATGTTTGCTGCAGAGCAAAATGCAGTGTCAAATGTTTCTATTTGTATATACTCGGAGAAGGAACACAGTCTTTCCTGTGACAACTTTAAAACCCATCTCTACCAGTGCAA